CCCCCCAAGTCTTCAAAACACCTGCAGAGTCCCATTTCTACAGCTAGCTAAAAATACTCTTGTTAAAATAGAAAAAAGATCTTTCTACAAAAAAATTTGGGGGGAAAGTCATGACATTTCAGCTAAATTGGTCTGGAGACCTTCCCTCCCCAGATTTCACCCGGATTTTCACATTCCTAAAAATAGTCCAACATTGCCACCATGTGGTCACGGTGGCACCTGGCGTCTCCCAGAGAAGATCCAAGACACTCGTTCATGGATAACCACGTCCAAGGGAAAAAGGAAAACTGAATTCTGAGTGGGGAGAACCGCAGGGGAAACAATTCCAAGTACGGACCAACATAAGAAAAAATAGTTTAAGATATTCTGTGATTAAGTCTTCAGCATCGTGACGCTCCCCTCCCTAAAGGCACAATCCGTTTCTGCGTGTACTTCCCAACAAGCAAAATCTAGGTATATGCAAAAGACCATTCGTTTCCTTAAATGTAAACATACTCGAAAAGTTTGAAACCTTTTTCTGGAGTTCAGGAAGCAATTCAAATTTAATTTTAAAATCATCTTTCACAGAGACTTTTTCATCGCCGCCTTTCTCACACTGAAGAGATATGCTTCATAAATAATATTTAAGAAGTTGTCATCATTCTGAAAAATAAAATAGGTAATTGTTAGTGCACGATAGGCATTTTGAGTAAAGAGATTAGAAGGATTTTCCATTTCATGGACCAGATACTTTTCAACCTTACTATGTTTTAAAAAGTGAGCAATAGGAAGGCTATTATTTCCTTTACCAAAAATATGTATTATTTTCAAGCCTTGCTAGCAGCCTGGACATGAATATAAACTTTACTGCAGCAAACATGGCTGTAATTTCTGTAACAAGTAATGAGCACACAGCAAGCAGATTTTCCAAACACACAGTGGATTTAACTTTAACTCACTACTCTTGCATGATAATGCGATGACAATACAACCCTGTAATTTCTTCTCTTTGCCCTCATTTAACCAGGGATTTCCTTAAGTAGTTTCCTCCATTAGGTCAACGATCATTTCAAGCAGGTCTGAAGGAACAGTGAGCCGCCCTGCCTTTTGATCCTATAGTAAATCCCACCTGGGCAAATCCTTGCACCTTGTTTAGCTCTTTAGATTTTATCTCCTAACTGAAGCTGCTCCTTTCTCTCTGATGCTCATTTAATTTTTTCCATCTGAAGATCATTTTGCAAGAACGGGTCAACCCACATTAAGAAAGAACATCCGAAGTAGCTCCCATAAACATTTGAGGATAATTAAAATCAAGATACTATCTGAGGAAAATCAGGAGCATCTGAGACTGTAGTTTTACATCATGAAAAATAAAAGGTAAGAAATTGGCAGTAAATAATTTTCAGGTAATTCAGTTAATCTTAACTACCATTAAAAACAGCGGGGTCAAATATACATTTTACAAGCACAGTTTTAGAGGGTAAAGTCCAATTTTCCTTGGCTAGTTTCCTTTTTAACTTCATATACAGTTTTACTGCTATCCAGATACTCAAAGTATGTAAAGACAGGATGATGTGATATTTTTGTTTTTTAATCCCAAACTAAAAATACAGGGAAAAATTAGAAAAACCTAATTTGTTAAAGATACTATTTTCTTTCTGAGTTTATAACTGAAATTGCATTTTAAGTAACTTCAACATTCCAATGACTTTTATTTTTACTCCAAAGCCATCCAGGCCCATAGTTTTGGCCTACAAATTAGACCCTTAAATCTGTGTCTCTATTCCTTGTGCTTTGTAGCCAGGTCTTTAGTTATATAATCTCTCCTCAACTTCTCCTCTTCAGATATTCATCACATGGCAAGTTAAGGAAAAAAATATTCATAATTGTCCATATCATCCCAGAGCAGTAAACAATCATCTCGTACATAATGTTGTTGATGCTTTTGTCACATTTAAACCTGAAAAACTGCAGCAAAAGGAATTTTAACATTTGAACCAGAGAATTATATGGAATAAACTGAACAAGTATATTTTTAGGTTATCTAACCCATATTTTAAAGTTGCTCACGCTCAATCCTGCAATTTTAATTTCCCATCTGAATTCCTCTTACTGCTAACACGCATCTCTGAAATATTTGGCAGCTGGGATAATCACCCATTATTTATCCTTAGCTAAAAATATAATAGATATCTCTCTGGCTCACAGGCCCACCTTATGAAGCTTTCAGTCATCTTTGTTCTTTTTTGTCAAATTTATTATCTTTCCTGAACCCAAAATCAGATGTATTAATCAAAATGTAGTTAAGCCAGCAGCGTGCAAAGAGAGGCTGTCACATCCCCACTCTATGTGATACTGCCCCATTAACATGCAGCCAAAAGTACTGCAACTTTTAACATATATTTTAATTATTTGTTTAGCCTCTGGATTTTCACTGAATTTCAGAGTTGGAAGGGACCATAGAGATCATCTAGTCCAACTCCCCTGCTGAAGCAGGATTGCCTAGAGCTAGAGCATGTTACTCAGGACTGCATCCAGGTGGGTCTTGAAAATCTCCAAGGAAGGGGACTCCACACCCTCCCTGGGCAGCCTGTTCCAGGGCTCTGGCACCCTCACCGTGAAGAAGTTTCTCCTCATATTTGAGTGGAACCTCTTATGTTCCAACTTGTGCCCGTTGCCCCTCGTCCTCTCAGTGGGAACCACTGAAAAGAGTCTGGCTCCCTCCTCCTTCAACCCTCCCTTGAGATACTTGTAGGCGTTGATAAGGTCTCCCCTCAGCCTTCTCTTCTCCAGACTAAAGAGTCCCAGCTCTCTCAGTCTCTCCTCATAAGGGAGATGCTCCAATCCTTGAATCACCTTTGTTGCCCTTCGCTGGACTCTCTCCAGCAGTTCCCTGTCCCTCTTGAACTGGGGAGCCCAGAACTGGACGCAGTACTCCAGTTGTGGCCTCACCAGTGCAGAGTAGAGGGGGAGAATGACTTCCCTTGACCTGCTGGCTACACTCTTCCCTCTGCAACCCAAGATACCATTGGCCTTCCCGGCCGCAAGAGCACACTGTTTACTCATTGTCATTTTACTGTCCACCAGGACCCCTAGATCTTTCTCTTCAGTAGTTGCCTCTAGCAGGTCCACCCCTAACCTGTACTGGTACCTGACATTTTTCTTCCCCAGGTGCAGGACCCTACACTTTTCCCTGTTGAACCTCATGAGGTTCTTCCTTGCCCAGCCCTCCAGCCTGTCCAAGTCTCGCTGGATGGCAGCACAGCCCTCCGGGGTGTCAGGATAGACAGATGCAACTGATTATAGGGTGCTTATATCAAAATGGGAATGGGGATTTTAAGCAAATGAGGAGAATTCGTGGCACTTTACCTGGATCAGGTGTAGAAGTGTTTCCTGCAGCTGCATCTTGGTCATGGAGCTGCTGTTGACCACAGCTGGCTCTGGGGTTTGCAGAGGCAGGAGAAGGCTGGCTGAGCTGGCAGCAGGTTCCTGGTTGGCTGCTGCCAAGCGCCCGCTTTCATTTGCTTTGGGTGGTGCAGGTGTGGTCTGGGTGAAAAGCATCGGGGACATCAACAAGGTAGGAGTCACAGTGGCAGGAATGCGTTGAGGTGAGATTACCTGTCCATGCAAAAATGAAGTCATCAGTTCAACCTATCATCTACTTAATTCTTGGGAATAAGGATGATGAAAACTGCAGACTGATTGGCAACAGGTCCAAAGGCTGCTGGAGATCAATACAGTTATGTGAAACTCCAGCTCAGTATATGATCTATGGATATATGATCTATATCCAGATTAAAAAGGTCTTCCATCCAATTTGAGGTTGCAGCAATGGATTCAAGTGTGATTAAGTCTATCTGACAGGCAAATGATCTTAGGATAGGAGCATTTTATTCCAGAAATCAGACTATTATAAAATATCAGCACTCTTCCAGAATGCAGCTGTGAAGTCTTCCTATGTAGGGACAGTAAGTCATTAAGTTTAGTATTTGAAATATACGTATGTGCAAATACCACTCTTAAAGACTAACCTTTGTACCTAATACTGGAAAATTTATATATATATATACACACACATATACACTTTTTTTTTTTCTTCTCATTTTACCTAAGGAGAAGGGGAAGAAAACAGATGAAGTGATTTATCTAAAGGACCACAGCGAGCTGGTGGCACCATCAGACACAGAGCTGACTCCTAACCAACACAGAGTTGACAAAATCAAAAAGGCCCTCAAAGAGAAGGAAAGCTTTGATGCTGTAGTAGTTCTGCAAGTTGTCTCAGTATCAGTGTCCGCGCCAACGTGCAAAGATAACAGGTCAAAGGATTTTTGCTTTTAAATTTCAAAATGCATCTTGGAACTGTAAAACACGCAGGACTAGCAAAAACTATCAGATATAATATAGAACATAATAGAAAGTTTATTCACTCAGTTTGCAAATATTAGAGCTCTCTCCAGGTAATTCTAGTAATAAACCTTGATCCTAATCAGCCATCTCCTCACTATTCAAGTATCTGATTTTTTTTTTTCAAAGAACAGCTCATATAAAGGAGCTGACAGGAGCTCCCCCAAGGTCCTCCCTTTTGGACTGGAACGTGGTTTATTGATCCTGTCTGAAGGTGAAAGGCTACTGCATCACTTCGCTCTGTGTCCTGGGTTACACTTCAAGTTTGAAGTAAAATTAAAATTAAGAAAATAAAACTGAGGTTTATCTCCTAGGTGTGCAGAACAGCACAGTTTAATATAAAAGAACATTCATATTTTTGTAGTTCGCCTTACTCCTACTTATGATTGTTCTACCCAAGACATTTCTGAACAACATTAGTTAGACTACAAAGAGAAATAGAAATAGAAAGAAATGACGAGGACTGAGATCTCATGTGGTTTTATGCGAAATTTAAGGAAGCAGAAAGACTAGGGATCAGAAAAGACTTGTGGATATCAGAAAGCATACAATATGCACCTACTGCAAAAATCTCCCAGTACATATTTTAAGTAAATATTATTCCTGTTTCTCAAATATGGAGTACTGAGAACTGAAAATCTTGACCTACAGCTTTTTTTCTGCCCCACAGCATGTAATCCTCATAGAAATCATAAATCTGTGTTAGAAGCTCCTGAACGAGTTAAGGCATTCCTAACTCATTAAGGTGTGCTTCAAACAGTAAGGCAGTGCATGTTTGTGTGCCTATGCTTGAAAAACAATGTTCATTTTAGAAGGAAACCAACGTTAAGTAAGTAAATCCAAAGTGACATCCCTCTCTGGAGTGAGACCTTCAGACAGTGCACAGATGTTACTGGTGAGAAGATTGTTCTCCTACCTGTGGAAGACTCATTACCTCCAGCCACTTATCACAATGTTTTTGCTCTACTCATCCATGCAGCTGAAGTCACTTCTCTTAATTTATCTCAAGCAAAATTGGCAGGCTTTCCTTAAACCAGAAGACTCTTCCTAATGTGATTTAAAGAATGCATATACAAGCTGCTCTCCAAAGGCAGGAACCTTCAGCAAAGGGACGGTGGTGGCAGCTGGAGAAGATAAACTGCCCCACTAATACAGCTGAATCTATGACAATGTCAAAGACCTAGATGACATGTCCTTCAAAAATCATACGACGTTTCTCTCTAGAGTCTAAGGCAAATAAATAAAACCTGAGACAAACTGTGCTCTTAATGATACACAGTTACTACTTTTGAATACATATACATGTTGTGGTTTAAAAGACAAATAAAAAATTATTTGTTTTCTCTGGATATAAATGTCTTTTTGGTAGGGCTTGCAAAGCATATGGAAACTATATGGAATAAGCAATATTGCCATCTACTGGTGACACAGCTAATACCTACAGGGTACTCCAAAACTTAAAATATTTGTATCAAGATGAATAGAATAATATATGGATCATTTTTTCAGTGCACAGCATTTGTTTCTGGATGCAAACATTAAAATGCATTTTTTTTGCTAACAGTTTGTGCTCAAAGCTTCTGTCATTTAACAAACTTTTACATAAACAACATTTAAAAAAAAATATATGCAAATTTTCATTTTATATTTAGTTCAGATCACGTTCAGTCCCTGGGACAACTGACACTCACCAGAAAATGGACTGCTGATCTTGGCATTACTGGTGCAATTCCTACAGCACCATGTTTTTGCTGAAAGTGCTGAAAATGCTCTGTGGGGTCATTAAGAGCCTTTTGGGTCAATCTTTTAGCTTTGAGTAATTTCTCACAAGACGCAACAGCCTTTTCAAAACACTGTTGATCCACTTCTTCCCCACAGAATCTAATCTAAGTGGCTTGCTCATCCAGCCTCTAATGAATTATCTCCAGCTTTATGGGGTCAACACTTAAATCTCTGAGTCACTAATAACAGAGTAGGAGTCTACCGTCGGTCGCGCAGCAAGGAAGCAAGAACAAAAGCAAAATGTGCAAAATAATCACTGCAGCATATAGTATTCCTTCTCTGGAGCACAAATGCTCACAAAGGCATATCTGTTTGCTATTCTGCGTGGCTGCTGGCAGCGAGATGACAAGATATAGCTGGCAGATTCACCTACCACCATGAGCTAAGGAACGCATTGGATCTCCTGCAAGGCAAACTGGCACCCCTCGTTGCTTCCTATGCGTGTAGAATCCCACACACTGCTCTGGAACATCAGCACCTGGTGGGTGCTTGTGGGCCTCTTGGTTTTAGTGGCATTGCTTAAAACTGAGAGAATATTTAATCTAAGAATGGTTCTTTAAAACAGTTACTATTAAAATAAAGCCTGCTACAATGCCAACATCGCTCTGTCCTTCAAGTTTAATTCAGAATTTTTTCATTGATATTTTACTACAGAATCATAGAATCGTCTAGGTTGGAAGAGACCCTTGGGATCATCGAGTCCAACCATCTACCCTACTCTACAAAGTCCTCCCCTACACCATGTCCCTTAGCACTGCATCTAAACAGCCCTTAAACACAGCCAGGGATGGTGACTCCACCACCTCCCTGGGCAGCCTGTTCCAATGCCCGACCACTCTTTCAGTGAAAAATTCTTTCCTAATGTTCAATCTAAACCTACCCTGTTGGAGCTTGAAGCCATTCCCTCTCGTTCTGTCACTAATTACCTTAAATTATTTCTCAAAAGAAGTTTAATGTACCTATCACATCCCTCCTGTGCATGTTTATAGTCTCTTCCTGACATTGCAGTCAGGACAATTGAGAGGTAATGGTGCAATGCTCACATCTAAGACACTAGTTGCCACGCACATATTCAGAAGATGTAACACTATGTACAAAATACATTCTGGATGAAAAATGCTCCAAGAAATGAGAAAAATGGGCTGCAAGATAAGTGGCCTTCTGAAGAAAAGATAAATTTGTGTCAAGGTTATTGTAAGCACTTTTAAAACCATAATTCTGATTAACATAAACACTTAAGCATGCATGTTGCTATAATCAGGATAACTCACGCCTAACACTAAGCATATGCTTAAAAGCCCACTGCAGATTAATGCTTTTTTATTGCATCTTAAGCACACGTTACTCACTGTCCACATAAGGAATACTTCACGGAATAGAGCTGGCACCAGACCAGACTGAATGCTTCCGTGTATTATTCTTCAGCTTTTGCTTTTTTTTTTTTCTTTTTTTCTGGGTTTTGGTTTTTTTTTTTTTTTTTTTTGTAACTGGTCTCTTCCTTTCCATGTGGGAGATCACAGTTCTTACACCATATGGAGATGCAGCAGAAGCCAATTTAAACTTGGACTTGTAATGTGTCAATTGTGGAAAAGACTATTGCTTTCATTTTCTTAGTGCTGCTGATGGATTTAGGGTGTTCCTTTAATACCATTTTTCCAACAAAGGACACGGTCCAGATACCTCTCTATTCCTGTCAGACTTTTTAGAGTTTGCTTTTTCTGGATGCTGAACTGTAGTACAAGAGGCAATACCAAAAGATAAATAATTACAGAGAACAAACCTTTTGCTGCATTTGTTGTCAGAATCTGCTTTGATCAATTTTGCATGAGCATGTGCAGATATATTTGTGCCAACTCAATTTCACTCGAATGTCTGTCTGCAGGCATGGCAGCACTTAAAGCCTCTGATCTACAGCAAGGATGGTATTATAAAAAGATTTACATTGGGTTTAAAAGTTGTTTCAAATTATTATCTTCCAATTTCTTTTCAAAAGTAGGCATTTTTCATGTGGCTAATTCATGGCAGGAATATTGACTTGTTCCTTCATTTTTAGCCTCTCCCCCTTTTTCTTTTTTTGGCAATTTGCTGCATGTGAAAGAGGCCATTCCTTCCAAATTGCTTTAGGTGTCCTAAAGAATCATTAGTCATACTTTCATTATCCTTTTCAGTCGATGTATTAAATCTCATAAGCAATACTAAACATGTCAGAAGAACTGCATCTAATACTGCTTTGCTAACAGCTGTGGGTGGCTGTGTCACCCCATGAAGCCATTCCTAGGAACTCTTAGTTTACTTGGTCTGGTCACAGCCCCAAAAAGCAAGGTTTTTTTGGTTTTGTTTTTTTTGGTTTTTTTTGTTTTTTTTTAAGGTGAACTTGCAGCAATAATCGTAGTAAATGAGTCTTGTTCCCGTGAAGACTCTTCTCACAAGCTATTGTTCTGTACGTAGTCAAGCAGTAAAAATATTGAAATTACATTGTCAGACCTCAGTAATTCCCTTTCCATATTGCAACTAATGCTGGCATCATTTTCTTTTTCAAATATGCACAAATAAAGTCATTAGCCATATCAGCATCTATATGGATTTTTCATTTGAAAACATAACAGCATATTTGCCATTTTTTATTTATGCATACTGACATATAATGTATAGCCTGGCACTTGCTTCATTTCACTGTTACCTTTAGAGCAGGAATGTCTTATGTTTCCATGCTATCAGTACACGTACCAGTGAATCAGACCATTTCTTTCATTTATAGCAGGCAAGTTCCATTCCCAGTGAAAACAGAAGTAAATTTTTGTGACTCTGGATCCTCTTTTTAGTCATTAGCACTTCACTGGAAAGTCTGTAAGCAACTGATCCCCAATAATTTCAATGACTAATCCCCACCAAACGCTTCCACGCAGATTCAAAGTCATGCTGCTTTAATTAAAAGAATAAAAATAATGATGGCTATTTGCTGTATCAAATTCATCTTCCTCTGACCTCTCTCATGGAATTAGAAATCTTGACCCGTGACAGTGTTAGTGACAGATGTGGCACTTAATTGTTAAATTACTATTTCAGCCTCTTCATGTGTAGGATAACTTTCTAGAATAAGAAGGATTTTTGGAGCATGCTGAAGTATTCTGTAGCCTTTCATTCCGGTTTTTAAGAAGTTGCAATATTTTACACTGTAAAGGTGAATGGTTTTTCATTTGGATAAGTAACTTCTAGGCTGGAATATAAGTCAGACTCCAGTACAACACAGGTCTTGTGTTAAAGGAAATTAAAAGGGGCTTAATACATCCTCAAACAAGACATTTAAAGACATTTAAATGTAGAAGATCCTATAGAAAATGAAGCTGTTAACAAATACAGTAGTCGTCCAGGATGAAGCATTTTGTAATTACACATGATGCTTTTCTGAAGAACACAAAAATGCACTCATGAGAGAGACATAGTTTCTTGACATCTGAACACTTGAAGACACCAATCTGACTTTTAGGGTCCCAATCACCAGAATTAAAGCATTTGGTTTGCGAAATAAATGATGTGCACCATGTGGTAAGACAGTAACAAGAATACACTGGCCAAAACGAAACGAAGAGTAACCTTGCAAAACACTAAATTCAAAAGATTGCTAGATTTTTATTTGTTTATTGAAAATAAAGGTTGAGGTTTCCCATTTACCTGAAAGAGAGCGCTCTGCTTTTCTGTTCCTGGTGCCTTTTCTATCCAGGAATCCAGTGGTTTCAGCGTGCTGGTGTTCTGAGTAACAACAGGAAACTTAGCTGCCAAGGTTGGTCTGCTGGATACATGCAACTGTTGTTCTTGTTGCACTATCTGGAGTTTTTTCAGTAACTCCTGAGGTGAAATCACCCCAGAACTGGCTGCTTGATTGCCAGAGAGAGAAAGTGGCTGTCTGGGAAGTTTGGATTGTTCTTTCCCGAGTGTCTGAGACTCCAAAGTCTGGCCTGGTAGGGAACCATTGAAATACACCAAAGGTGGCTGGCTCATATTATTTACTGTGGCTGCTGGTGCTCCAACAGCAGTAGGAGTCCTGCTGAACACAGCAGCTGTCGAGTTCACAGCCGCTGTTGCGCTGGGGTCCATTTTAGCCACCGACCCCGACTGACTCTGCAATTTCTGCAATAAGCTTTGAGTGCCAGCAGCATCCTGAACGACATGAGATGTTGTGATACCATGAGAAGTCACAGGTTGGAAGAGCCCTGTGAAAGTCTCACCCCCGGGGTGGATATTGCCGTTTTCACAGAGCCGGTTCTCAGGAAACTCAGCGAGAGGATGAAGGTCTGTCCCACGCACCATCAGCTTCTGAATGGCAGGGCAAAGCTGCTTCTCTGCAGAGGGGGAATGCCTGCTGGGTTCTTCGTAGGACAGGGAACGTACCACACCCTGCCTGACAGGAAGATTCTCTTGATGCTGTTTATTAAGTGGTGGTTCTGAGACATCTGGCTTTTCTCTTTTTCCAAACAGCGCCGTCAGAGACAAGTGCTGTGGTTCAGGATCCACATTCTGTGAGGGGACAGAGGGGAAAAAAAGTAAACATAGTTACCTCGTGCCTAAGTTACATTAAGTGGTGACAATATATAGCCAGCAGTATTCAAGGGAAAGCTGAGAAAACTGCTATGCTCTTTTCTCCCAAGAGGATTTTTAAGAGTTTTGTCACATAGGAAGGGCAAGAGGACAGTCGTCAAGCTGCTAATGTGGGAGAAAAATCAGTGAATCTGAGAGATAGCAGTGGCTTCACTTGAAATACCATGAAAGAGAATCTTCCCTTTCAGCCATCAGTACAATATTAGTAAGAGATGGAAATCTCCCCATGTATGAAGTAGGGCAACTTCTTGGGCATCTCCCTATCACAGCTGAATTCAGCTTTTAGGCTTTTGCAGCCTGATTTAGCTTGAAGATATATCAAGAGATTTTTCTTTACTTAGATCGACTGAATTAACTTAAAAAAACAAAACAAAACTCAAAAACTAGGATCACAACAGCATCTGAAATTTGAAATACTAGTATTTTGCCATCGCATCAGGATAGTATGCCTGCAATTTACATGCTTCCACATCAAATGGTGGCAGTTGGGGAGCTTTTTTATAAAACAGATTAGTTTTGCATTAAAATCATTCCTTACAGAGGTTCCACCTCAAATTCTTGCACTGGCCTTCCAACTCAAATAAACAGTCCTACAGTCAAATAAATAGTTGATTACAGTAGCGCTAGTCAGAAAACACACAAGAGATTTTACCTTGTTTTGCTGAGATATTCTCTGATGCTGATTTTCACTAGGCTTCACTGGAATTGGTTTGATTAAGTTGGGGTTGTTATAGATTGCAGAGGAGCTGGTTATTTGTTTTGGCTCTGAGCAGGTCTTACACTGCAACAGAAAATAAGTATTTTTTTTAGTTAAGTGCAGCAATATCTTTTGCTTTACTGCTCCACTACTGTAAAATACAGACATAGCCAGGTACTCAATAACCAAACACACTGGTTGCAGCACTGATTATGAAGTGTTACGCTATTGAAAGAACCGTAACAACTGCAACCTAATTTTCTAAAACCACAAAGCATATGTAAAAATAAACACTTGATTCCAAGATGTCCTGAGTATGAGGCCTCCACCTAATTTAAATCTCAGTTCTTTCTTATCTTCTGCTTTTCCCTTACCAAGAAAAACGTAAAATAATTTTTAAAAAGCACCTTAGAAACCAAGCAACAGACATTCTTTTCCTGCATCCGTTGGCAGCTAGAAGTAGTTTTGATACATGAAGGATTAATGTGCCCAAAAAGAATGTTTTAAATGCTTTTTGCTAAAAACTAGAATTATAACTCAAGCTCTTTTACAAAATCATTCCACATTGGAGGATGCATATATCTGCACAGAAAAATAACTGAAGATTTAATCGAATTTGTAGAATCAGCATGTTTCCTTATTAAATATGACAGGATTAATAGCCATATGTCTAAAAAGATTGTCACAGACATATGACTAAAAGCGATCAGGGACATGGAATGACTGACACATGAAGAGAGAAGGACACGATTTAATTCAGAAAAAAAATAACAAAATGCTGAATGAGAGAGAAATAATAAATGGAAAAGGTGAATACGATGTCTTATTGACACTGTACGAAAAATAAGAACACTGTAAATGAAACTAAAAAAGCATTGGGTATACAAGGGATGCTATTGTCATTAGAAAACAAAACAGTGTACTGGAAGTCGTTGTCACTCAATACAATTGAAACCAAGAAAATGGAAAAATTTTTGTAAAGAATCATCTAATAAAAAGTTAATCCTGTCTAACAAGAATATTCATAGTTAATTACCTGAACTTGATGGGCTCTAAATTTGATGTTGCAGGACTAATGGTTGGGGTAAGGAATGACCATTTTCAGCTTCTCATTCTTTCCTCCAAAGAGCCCAGTCTTGTGTGTTACTGAGGACAGAACTCTGGACCAGACAGACTGCCAAACGGACACACAGCAGAGCCACTACTGTGCAATTATGAAATGATCAGTGTCCTTTCTAGAACATTCCAAGACATTCCTTCGCATTCAAATGTGTTAAGTGAGAAAATAACTCTCACCCCCAAATAGGCAAAACTGATAATGTAATCCATTTCTGACATCTACTGCAACAGATAAAGATGTAAATAAAGATACACTGGTTCCAGAGCTGCTCTGTAAAACTGAAATGGACTACCGTGTCCACCTCTGGAGACCCAAAAGCACACGGACTTGTTGGAGCAGGTCCAGTGGCAGGCTATGAAGGTGATCAGAGGGCTGGAGCACCTCTCCTGTGAAGACAGGCTGAGAGAGTTCAGGTTGTTCAGCCTGGAGAAGAGAAGGCTCCGGGGAGACCTTAAAGCAGCCTTTCAGCACCTAAAGAGAGCCTACAGGAAAATGGGGAGGGACTCTTTATCGGGGAGTATAGCAATAGGACAAGGGGTAATGGTTTTAAACTGAAAGAGGGGAGATTTAGATTAGATATTAGGAAGAAATTCTTTCCTGTGAGGGGGCTCAGACACTGGAACAGGTTGCCCAGAGAAGCTGCGGATGCCCCATCATTGGAAGTGTTCAAGGCCAGGCTGGATGGGGCTTTGAGCAGCCCAATCTTGTGAAAGATGTTCCTGCCTGCAGCAAGGGGCTGAACTAGATGATCTTTAAAGGTCTCTTCCAACCCAAACCATTCTATGATTTAAATTCTTTTCTCTAACATGAAGGGTAATAGAGTCTTGTATATTTCACAATGAAGTCTGAAGAATTTAAATAATACCCCTCTTTCTCTAGGGTATTTTAAAAGACTGAGTTCTTCAGAAACCGTGGGTACCTCAAATTCCACTGTCATACTGTGCACGATCACAGCACTAAGCATATAAAAATGAAGTGAGAAGGAGTAGAGTTTAACAGAGTTATCACTATACGAGCGTTTTTCAGACCAAATCTCTCAGCAAAATGAACAGCACAATACACAAAGGCCTATAGAGAATGACATTGACCTGACTTGGTATCATTCCCATGATTTGATAACATGGCTAGTAGGCTGCTATCAAACACAGGGAAGTACAGTGAAGAGGAAAAAAAAAAACATTTTAAAGGAATCTGTAACTACTGTAGCTCAAAATATAAGGTCATTTTGTCAGATGGTTAGCATGGCCTTGCTGATGAGTAAAGTAGGAGCACCAGCATGACATTTTAAGCAACTGTCGGGTGGACAGGTAAAGAAGATATCAGATGGCATCATCATAGGACAGCAAAAAGCAGCATGAAAGAAATGTCACCATGCTCTTTAGTGATAGAACCAGAACAGTACTCATCAGCTACAACATATGATGATTACTACATCTGGCTTCACAGGCCTGTCCTTTAGTCATGAGTCTTGTTCAAAGCTACGCTCCTACAAAAGATGCGTAAGGAATCAAAATGATATAAGGTTAAGTGAAAGGAAGGCTAAGCAACACTCAAGAAAACAAAAAAGAGACAGAGGTATGTGGTGAACATAAATGAAAAAAGAACAAGACCAGCACTAAGGATGTCTTAGGCAAGTTTGGTATAGTCAGAGACATTTGAGGCAAACAACTGCTCTATGTCGTGAGATTTCATAGTCTACCTGTATAATATGAAGCTCAAGTTGAACAGGACATTGTCACAGGAAACTGATAATGGGCAGGCATGGTACCTCAGTATTGCAGTTCTCCTGAACAAAATACCATGTCACATCCCAATCTCCTGTTCTGTAGCAAAATCCTCACTTTGAGACTTTTTATCTGCATAGATATGTCAAGTATAAGGAGGAGATCCTAGAAGGTCTGATACAAGAAGGTCAGCCAAGACCTGATGGAACTTAGAAAAGCTTTGTAGATGGATGTCTAGGCTGAAAGTGATGAAGAGAACTTTGAAGTTGTCAGAGCTCGAGTGCAGAGCTAAAAAGTGCTAGTAACTGAGGATTTCTACCTAGCTGATGTAAAGCAGCCACAGGTGACATTAATGAACAGTGACATGAAGGCACTCTGCAGAAGAGAGGAGTTGAGGAGGACAAGAACTGTCTCAAAGAAGAGCAGTAGCAGCAAGGATTTCCAATTAGAACCCTGCTTAAGTGAGGCATACAGAACCAATTCCGACTGTTTAAGAACAGTAGCATAGACTCTGCATCACCCAGGTTACATATGGCACAGTGCCCTCAGGAAAACTAGGCCTCCTGGAGCCTACTATCAAGTCTTTCGCACAGTTAACAAATCAAAAGCTAAGGCACCTGAAAACTTAGAAACTATATTCAAGTGTCATTTGACTATTTTGCTGACAGAAGCAGTAAAAGAACAGAAACAGAGGTCCAGAGGTCATGCTTGCTTGCTACCAGAAACGATGTTCTTATCAAATGGTAGTGTGTCCTCAGTAACGAAGAAGGAAGCTTCAGCTATTTTGGGCACATCAACCAGCCAAAGGACGTTAATAGATCAAAGATGGTGTAGTAAATGGTAGATGCTTAAAAGCCCAGAGCTAAAAGCAGAGTTTGAGAAGGCACAATGGTTAAAAAGAAAAACATTTTGTCATGCTTCATTCTGTACCCTAGCAGTTCTCCAACTCTTTATCTCCGTAGCTATCGTTATGAGGCCTGCTAATACCACTTCTTCTTACCAGAAATCAACAGAAGGCAAGTGTGCACTAGAAGTATATTTTTCAAGAAATACTTTAGTGGTTTAGCAACTTAATAAAAAAAGGAGGGGGAGGCTACATATTTTATTTTTCATGTAACCTCTAAATGTGTAACTTATTTGGGAATTAGTTAGTTACACGCTTAAAAAAAATTTCTCATCCTCGGATTTAAAACTTGAGCAAAATTCCGTAGATGCTTTGAAAATTGATGTTCTTATTCTACAGTTCCCAACACTTCGAAACACTCTCATCTCTGAAACCACACAGAATGTGATTTCAGCACATTAGCACTGTAAGCCATAAGACACACACTGGCAAGGAAATAGAAAAAATAATGCAGCCAAAAAGCATGACTGCTCTGAAACATATTGCCACTAAATACAAAAAAGGTTGTCATTGCCTTTATTTATCACACCCTTCTTAATTTTATATTACTAACAAAACAAGAGAAAACAGATATCCAGTTTTTAAGAGGTCAGATACTCTTTGTACTCATGTTCCAGGTGAAGAGGAAGTTTTCATGGTATCTCCTTAGCAATCCCTTAAATGCAGAAAGATTATATATGAAGCAAATTTGCCAAAGATCTTATCTGCGGGGAAAAAATTAAGACCACTATTATTTAAACAACAGATCTTCTAGAATTTCTTCTCCTTCATCTTGATTTTCTGTGTGCTCATGTAGAAATGGAAGTTAACTTTTTTAGGTTTATTACCCCCTTCTCATATAATCTGAAGATAGCCTGATATTTTTCCAGTTTTCCATGTACAGTATTTTAAAATCATTTAACAAAAACTTCTTAAACATTTCATAATCATGCTCTTCTATGCCAAGACTAGATACTGATTCAGTATTAATACACAGAAAAGGTATCAGGTTTTGGAGGTGTTTGTCCACTGTAATGCACTAAATCCCTATTACAGAAAATATGACAGTCCTAAGCTTCAAAAGAAACTACACCACAACACAAAGGGCTACCATTCACCTTAATTCAAATAATTTGCTATTGTCTTTCTGAGGATCTTATTAGTACCCACGTTTCAGAAAAATAACTTTTCCTCTCTTTAAATTGCTTGTTAAAGATATAGATATTTCTAGACTCAGAACACTTATGAGCTTTATTACTGTAAGCCAACATATGAAATAGAGGAAACAGCAGTAGGAACCTGCAGGCTCTGTAACAATTTGCAGCATATATATGATGAGTTAAAATTATTAGATTTTTATTCCCCAAAGTAAAACGTTTTTGATTGCTCAATAATAGAGAACATTATTAGTCCATTAGTTACTTCTTTATTTAGAAGCCTCAGAAGACCAAAGCAGCACACGGGCTGAAATCATACTACATTTCAACCTTTTCATTTCCTTCCATTAGTGTCTGAAAGCAGCTAACAACCACAATTAAAAGCAGTAACTTCACTCTTAAAGCTCTTCTCTGAAGAGCTTGTATAAACCACTGAAACTACTAACAGGTTTGAATACTTCACCCAGAAAGAGGACAGAACTTCCAGGTCCTACTCAATATGCAATAAGCACGGAAGCTCTAAGGGTCAAAACTGAAGCCAATTTATACTTGTTCTTACCCCCTGGCATTCAGCTAATAATCAATCATACACGTTCTCCTTTCAGAAGTTTTTATTGATGGCATTCATTTCTTTTGAATCTTTAGCAAATTCTGACAAAACTCTTTTATAAGCAACTTTCACACAAAATAAGAGAGCACACTGTCCAAAATCAGTTTTGCTTTGAGTCAAACTATTTTTAAAAAAAACAACAAACCAAACCCTTTAATGTTTTAATATGTAAAGTGTAAGCAAGGTGGCATCAGAGTATGACCAAAAAGAAATGTCCTCTTTTTACAGACAACAAATCTCACCTTGGTATACTCATCTTTGGCTTTGGTAAGCATCCGTAAGATATCCACTTCTTTGTTATTAGCAGAATTCATGATCATTGGGGACACTCCTGTTCCTGTGCCCTGCTGCGCTTTGAATTGTTCCTGCTGAGTTAGGCTGAAAGTTGGAGGTGAGAGGAGAATACACAAGACAAAAAACAGTTAAAATAAAAAAAAAAAGTTTAACCACAACTTTATAATAATTAAGCAAAACTCAAATATTTGCATTTTCCCCCCATCTACATTAGAACACATAAAAAACCCCACACCTCTATTAAAATCAAGACCTATACTAACATATAATTTGATCAGGTGAGAGATTAATTTTCTCCAATCCTGAATACACTATGCCCTAGACTAAAATATCTGTAATGCAGTCGCAATTTCTACACCCAGAAAGAGCAGGGAATTTATAGTGTTATTCAATTCTGCTGGTGGTGGAGGATGGCAAACACACACAAATCAGTCATTAACAACTAGCAAATGACCAATTTCCTGGCCCAGCTGTTTTATTATTATTGTAGAATGCTGAGAATTAAAACATGCAGACAATTGGCTGAGCGACAGGGTATTTTTTTATCTATATGCAACACTGCTATTATAAACCACTACACGTGGTTTACAATTGCATGAATCCTCTGAAAACTAGTTTTTATTGTAGTAAATTACCAGTTTGAGAGTACCTAATCACCACCAACTGAAACTTGAGCTAGTTAACTAAAATTAGCTGTCAAAAACCCGGCTTTCCTAGGGTTTATTGCTTATTTCTGTAAATTCATTCCCGTCAATTATTTCTTGGGACACAACTGACTCATTTTAGAGCTGTAGGATATACAGCAAAACCAACAAAGAACCCTAAACAAACCCCCACCACTGTCACAGTCTGTGTTTCACAATGTTTTGTCACTGCAAAATGAAAAGCAGCAGGTATTACTTTAAAAAGAGATAGAGAGGAAACATGACTACCTTCCCATCTGGTATTTTATGACAAATCCTAGCTGGAACATAGTGGTAGAAGAGTTAAAGCACTTTGCTACGGATCGAGATGTGTGAGGATGAGCCTCGTTTGGACTTGTACTGCAGGGCACAATAAATGGGCTTTTGGGCACTTGGTAACTTTGGCAATCAAAACTGATGTCACTTCCTCAGCACGCTTCTGGCTACAGAAGCTGTTAAGATTGGGACAGATGACCTGAAAAGGAGAGATTCACAGGTCTGACAGCGCCTTTGCATCACTCTCAGTGACTATTTAATGCTGTCAGCTTGACTGTATCCGCCTCCCATGGCTTTTCTTGGGATGACAAAGACCTGGCTCTGCATCATCCCTCCTCCTGCCCCTTAAAAGAACTGTGACACAAACTTATATACTGCAGGCAATTCGTATATCCAACCTCTGCCGGTTCCTATTGGGCCCTTTTACTATATCCTTCACATTATGACTCAAAAAAATTTAGGTTGCGTATGTTGATAAAAATTTGTAAGACTTCAGCTCCTTCCTCTGCCAAACAAACGTGAAAACCTGTGAAATATGGTCATAAGAAAGGGATCATTGCAAACGAGCCCATCATTAGGCCAACCAGAGGACAGAGCAGAAGAGCGAGCCCTGTCCATCCCGGACATGTGAAGAAAGTGGTGACAGTGAAAAAAAACTACCCATGAAATTGTTAGACTAAAATACAGCTGAGAATACAGTTCTGTTTGAAATTGCAATCTCCGACTTGATGGTAAAATTAAAAATTGTATAACATGTATGAAATAATATTATGTGCGTAAAAGTAATTAATTCAAAGATAATTAAAGTCTTACTTTATATTCCAAAAACAAAGTGAATTTTGTACATATTTCTAATAAATGAGGAAGCAGGAATTCAGCCTTGAGGTAGAAACAGGATAAAAACCACAAAAATTGTATTATTACAGTATGCCTTCATGATAGCCAGCGCTTACATTGCTAGAGGGAAAAAAAAAAGGTAACAGCAACATTAAAAAAATCCCCTCCCCAAACTTAAAAAAAAATATATTAAAACCCCAAAGAGTACAATTCTTCAAAACAAATTTCTGAGTCATCAGGAAATAGATCAGATGAACTGTTACATTCTGATGTAGCTGGAAAGCTGCGCAGCAAATTATGAAAAAGCATTGCAATACAGTAATTTATTTCTGATTATACAAAATGCAGGTGTGTGAAAATTCTACTTGCAACAAAGTCTATAAAAATAGCTTTAAAGTAGAAAGGTATGACCATCCTAGCAATATAATGTGCATGTATGTACAGAAATACATACATTAAAAAAAGCACAAGAAGTCTTGTTTACCCATCACTTACTTTTTCATGAGCTCTGCAATTCTTTGGCATTCTTCCTTATCATAAAACCAAATCCCATATATGGACACTGCAAATGCACATCAAACACAAACTATGAGCATCTTCTCAAACAACAATTCTACCTGGTAGATATTTAAAAGTGACCTGTAAAGGAATTCTTAAGATTTATTTCTGTCTTATGCTTTCCCCATCTATAAACATGACACCTCAGATCTTCCAAAATAAAAAAAAAAAATCAAAGGCATATCTCTAAGGATGTAAATGACAAGCTCTTGAGCTTTCAATAGAGACAGAGGTATTTGATCCTTTTTTTCAGAACACTAAGCCAGAGGATTTTTTTTTCTTTAAAACCTTTTCCTCTGTCAATTTTTTCAGTTGTCATATCATATCCATTAGACTCCAGTGGCCAGTGTACTGCAGGTAGTGTTACACGCGTATATAAACAAGCAAGATTCATTTAGTTTTCAACAACATTCAAGGCCTATCTCATATATCATCCAAGTTGTCAGAGTTGTACTAACACAACTCTGCCTCCCTGCAGATTTCCTATAAAAGTTGCCCATTAATTTCACCACCAATAATAAGTCATTATCTGTAGCCAACCCCAGTATTAGAAAATCTATATATAGTGAAGGTCTGAACTTAGATAAGTGCCTACAGCTTTGCACAATTTGCAGCAACAATGGATTTAAATTTACTAGTAGTTCAAGATTCTCAAACATCCACACCCCTAATGAAACCACCATGATGGTAATGGCCATAAGGGAACTGCAGTTAGCCCAGCTTCCACCATAAAAAACATGGAGCTTTTTCCACTCACGTCCATGCTATATAGCTCATGTAAAATAGCCTTGGAATAAATTTACAACACTGTCTCAAAACAATCTCTCCGCATTTGCCAGGGTAACTGTCCTAGTTTTAACCTCAGGCACAAATTTGCTGTGAGAAGAGGAAGGGAGAAGCACTCGAAGGGTTAACACATCTTCTTCTATCATCACAACCTTGTGTAACATCCATGTTCCCTTTACACGATATGGTAGCAAATAGCTAGTGCTGTGTTTCTTCCCTGTTCCCCTTCCTACCGTACTGCAGGCAAGAGTTTTCCCTTAATTTTACTAAGAAATGGCAATTTCTGATGTCTTCAAACACAGCAGGGGCTAGCTTTTATTTGAAAGGAGCATAAACGGATTGAGTACCTGCTTAAAAACAACTGCAACGCTGACTGTGATCATGTAATATTTCCTTATATTAGCAGAATCCAAAAGCAATCACTTCTTCAATTTCCCAGAATGAAAAACACAGCATATGAAGTGTAAGTTGGCTTTGTTAATGTTTGAAAAGAAAACGAATGTGCAGCTGTTTGCAAGACAGAAATGTAATACTTATCTCCATTCCCCCTCAGATTTTCAGCCATGTGTTGTCTTTTATATAGCTAAAAATGGTTCAACTGTTTAATACAGCATACTGGTAAAAAGCCTAAAAAAACCCACAAACCAACAGCCATCCTGTAGACACACAATAAATAACTTTTAAAAGACGTACAGTCATTTTTATGATTAACTTTTCAGAAGTGTGATGATGATTTCTACTACTCACCTAAAAAAGGTAAATAATGTACTATGCGCCAGCGGTTCTACAAATGTGCAACATAAGAGCTGATCTGAACTGCACAAATAATCTCCTTTTTTTAACATAGGCATAAATATTAAGATACGCATTTAAAATAGACATTAATATTCCAACACATTCCAGCAAGCACCCAGTAATAAACTGCAAACCTGTAAAAAAGCACGTGAACGATTTGCAAGGTTCTGAGATACCAACCCACACTGCAAAACGACACATCCTTCTGACAAACCACATTTGAAAACCTGTTGTTGTCCATATTACAGGTAACACACTATTCTTCAATGCAACAACGTAGCATGCAGACTGAAAACCCCCCACAACCCAAATTCATTTTAATCAAGATTCTTTGTTATAAAAGAATCTCCATTGCAGAAGAGTATTGATGAAACTTTGGCCATCTGCTCCATCCTCTCAATTCTTTTTTTAATGTCTGCCACAGCTGGTGGCATCACCAATAAGCAAGACAGGCTGAACAGCTTCACCTTTTGGCCAATTGATCAAATATGTCATAGGCAATTTATGAATATCTGATAAATTTGAAAGCTGACAGTCCCATGGGGATACTCCAGTGCTTCTGGCCATTGAAAGTTGAAAAACTGGAATCAAGAGCAGAAGCAAGCTAGTTTACCTCAACTCGGTGACAAATATACTGATTACCTGTGTAAGAGACCATTTCAGATTTTACAGAACTACAACTAATATTTTGAAATACAATTCAGACCCATTTCAGGTCACAAAATAAAGACACTAATGTACTGCCTGTCCCACCAGACCAAATCACCACCCCAAGAACATACCACATCTTAACTGAAGCTTTAAGTGAGGATATTGCAGATCCAGAGAACTTTAGCCCAGATGTTAACTGCGCTTCAAACCAACAAACCCACACTTACTTTCTTACTTCAGTCAAATGGTACTTTAAACCTGGAGTAGGAAGGCACAGCTGAAAGCAAGGAAGACCAAAACCCAACATCCTCTGAGCTTACAGCTCCCTTTCGGTACTGAAATCTTTCAGAAGTGGACAGTCCTCCTCTTCGTCCTTCCACACTGTCCCCATCTGCCCAGAACAGATGAACACTTCAGAAAAACACTAAGAAATAACCACACAGCCACTCCATTTGTTGCGGCACAAGGTACTCCAAGCTCTCTCATGCATAGGAGAATGATGTACCAGTGCGAAGGCAATGACTTGCTGGAAAACTGAGATACCAGGTATCCAAAGGACACCAACCTATGCTTTCATATTTGGTGCTCATCACCTGGAGTAACCATGGTGTAAATTCATACTACAGTAGTATATTCTGCTATGAACTACATTTAAGGAAAGAAAAATGTAAATAATAGCAGTAAAAATGTGTTTTAATGGCCATCTTCTTGATTAATGATGAATACAAAATTCCATTTTTATTTTTTCTTAATGTGTATGACAACACATTAAAACCCAGCACTGGCAAAAGCAGCTAAGATGATTACAAATTGTAACTGTCACACTAAGAACCTGGCATGCTCTTCAGTAATGGAAACCAAATACACATACAATACAAATTTCACTACAAGCTTTCTACCAGCACGAAAACACTGCATGTCTTATCAGGATTAAATCTAAACAGATTACTTTTATCCGCCCTCCATCTCTATCAGACTGTTAGACAAAAAGGAAATCCTGATCTAAGTATCATCTGTAGAGTGGTAATTTCACTAAAATGTTCACATGTTAAAAATGAATCATTAAACGGCAGAGGCACAACTGAATCACTAAACAGCAGATGCACAAAGCATATTCTTCTGCTGCAGCACAAAAGAGGAAATATTAAGTCACTTTTAGGCCCGGGTTCAGCTACAAAGGTATCCAAGAAGAGATTATTGTAAAAAAAAGCAAAAAGAATAAACATATCAAAGTCAAGTATCTTCTGGTAACCAAGTGAACCAGTTACATGAGAAGTAGCTAACAAAAACCAAATAAGGAGAGCTAGTTTTATACTGACAAGATGGTACACATCTAGTCATCCACTTTGAACTGCTCTGAAGTCATTTACTAAAAGAAATGAGATTTAGTAATTAATTGATCACATTAGAGGAAAAAAAAAAGGCACCAAAGTTATGATGATGTTAACAAGATTACACAAAACTAAAAGGATATAATGTAGTTATCAAATCAACAGGACACAATTAATATTGAATGGGAATAGCCTAAATAAATTCCTTAAACAATCTAATTGAAATGATTACCTACTAAGAGATACCAGTCTTTAGAATTTTTAGAATTTGAAAAAGGTGGGTTACTCATAAATCAAACCTGAAAAATTCTAACAAACTCTGTGAAGCTCATTTAATATAGCTCAGTGATTGAATTTCAGGAAGTATATTCTTTAATTTTCAAATCACAATTTCAGAGCTAATTCTAGAGCTTCTGCCTTACGATTTTCATTTTTTGGCTACAGATTTCTCCTGTCCTCACAAACACTAGAGCACTCGATACTATTTATAAGCAGAAGCTGACAGCTGCCATCTACCAAAGTTACAGACGACAATTTCTAACCTCTCAAAATCTGAAACATTTATTTATTATGATGATGAAGAATTTCTTATCAACTTTCACAATTCATGCTAAGTAACCTATTACAAAGGAAGGCATTTTCTCTAGGATTATTTATTTTACTCTTCATTTGTCCAGCTTCAGCTTCTAGCTATTAGATTTTTGTCTTCTGGATAGACGTTTACATTACCAAAGTTTTAGTTTCAGTGTGCTTGCAAGACATTACTTTTAAACACTTGCTCCACAGACTGCATACAGTATTTAAGCTTGGTAAAAATAAATACAGAAATATTGTAACAACTGACTAGAGATTCTCCTGCACCTATAAACTGTTTTACACTTGCTGGTATTAAAAAAAAAAATATATAAAAAATAAAATGATTCTTCAACTTTTATGTTCTATTCTTGATATCATACTTTTTAAGGTACTTTATTCCACAGGTATGGCCTGTATTGCTCCTGAATATGTAAAACCACAATTGGCTATATTAAAGTGCAGTTTCTTTAAGCACATCTTACAAGGTAGCCAGACTCTTATGTTGGTCATTTTTTCCCTTTGCTATCTACCATTTATGTAATATTTGACTATTCAGCAAACTATCAATGTTTGCATTTCTTTTTCTAGTACTTTTTAGAACATTGCAGCTTCCATTTTGCAGGACCTACTGAAAAAAGAACCAAAGCAGGTTATAGCCACAACAATAATTTTTGATCTCTGAGTTCTTAATTTAAAACATTAATTAAAGCACGCCATGTTAATTTTGTGCTCTTGTACTGCAATGCAACTATAAAATTGGCTTTATACTTTGCTCGTGCTCGAGTAGTGAAGGAGACTTGCCTGTTGAAGTTCTACATCATGGTCTGGGGGATAAAGCGAGAGGACTGCAACAAAGGAGAGAAGG